ACTCAAGATGATCTGCTCCATCAGCTTCCCCGGTACTGAAGTGAAACTGACAGTTTGACAGTCAAATTGTAGTTTCCCAGATCCTCCTTCCGGCCCTTCTTGTAAATGGGCATCACATTGGCTAACTTCCATTCCGCTGGGACCTCCTTAGTCAGTCAGGACTGCTGAAAAATAATGGAGAGCAGCTTGGTGAGCACCTCTGCCAGGTCTCTCAGAACTCTTGGTCGGATTCCATCTGGTCCCATAGACTTGTGTGCACCTATGTGGTGCAGCAGGTCACTGACCATCTCTTCCTGGAATGCAGAGGGATCATTCTGCTCCCAGTCTCTGACTTTTAGCTCAGGGGGCTGGATTCCCAGAACACAACTGGTCCTATTACTGAAGACTGAGACAAAGGCGGCATTAAGCACCTCAGCCTTTTCTTCATCCTCAGTTACCGTGTTTCCTCCTGCATCTAATAAAGCATTCATTCTTTCAGTTTCCAAACATTTCATCCAAATAATTTAGATGAAAAAATCTGCAAGGTCTTGGCTTGGGGTAAAGAGAAGGAAGAGAGGGAAATGCTGGGAACTTATCAGCATTATTTGCATCACATAACAAATGCCTGAAAAGAGAGCTAATAAGCCCTGCCGGACCCAATCTGATTTTGCACAACCAGCACTTCCTATTTTGCTGGGTAGTATTCATGTAATTGTGATTTCTTCACTGCATAGGTACATTTCAGATAATTGAGAGCTAAGTGTATTCAGTAAGAATTATGTAACTAGTTTTAAATCAAGCTACATGAAGCACAAAACCTCATAGAAATATTTTATTCAAAATTCTTCTACAACAGAGTTTGCTCATATTCATGCTTAACTGCACAGGTCATTTTAAATTAATATTCTCCTATTCAAAGATCTCTGAAGAACTAGAAAGGTATGATTTTTTTAAAATAAAAAGTATGATAATATGAAGATTTCTTTTCTGATCATTACAGTACAGTTCTCCCTTCAGAAAAAAAGCAGTTATTTCTCTCCCATAACTGCCTTTCATTATTTACAGCATCTGCTACTTTCTACAATGAATTAGGTACACCTACAAGTACACCGACTCCCTCAGAAGGATTGAAACTTTTGTATCAACAGGGCATTTATCAGTTAAGCTTAGGCAGTAACTAATAGATTTACATGGATCTGCCACTAGACAGATAGACGTTGCCTAAGATTTTCAGACAATTCCCACTCAGTAGCACAGATTCACTTTCTCTACCTACATAATTTTTTTTTCTTGGCAATTTTTACTATGAAAAACCCCAGCACATAGAATTCTACTTAGGCCTACAGAAAGTGTAAAAGGATATAAGAAGAAAAAGCTTTAGGCAATCTAAACTCTTCTGCCAAGTTTAAGATATTACTAAGGGAAAAAAGTGGATTTTTACTAACTTGGATGTAGAAATGTATCTTAATTTCTTGTTTCTTTTTTCTGTTAAGAATCTTGAAGAACATGTTAAACAAAATTTATGAATTACAATGAAAAAATAACTACCAACTTTCTGCCACAAAACCAAAGTAGGCTTTTTCAATTCAGACAACCAGAGATACTCCTATTTGATAATTAGTTTATTGAGAATTGTTCTTAGAGATCAAAACCTACGTATAATTCACTGTTTTATTAAATAAACATGCACTATCAATAATATATTTCACATTTCATTTCCTAATACAATAACAATTTCCCATCCTCTTAATTTCTTTCTTGTTTAACATGGATGACTACAGATGCATCTGTGTCATCAATATAGTACCTGAGCTTCTGGTGAGAGTTGTTTTTCTCTTTCCTGCAAGGACATTTTACAGTAAGACTGTAAGGCCAAGTAGTTCTTCCGCTTCCATTTTCTGTCTAACCTGTCTGCATGCTGTTTACAATAAGCAAAAAAAGGGTCAGCTATATCCTGTTTCAAAGAAAACAAAGGGGAAGGAACAAAAATAAAGTTAGACATACAAGGCCAAAAGGGTCAGAACAGCACAAACATTCTGGCAATCAGTTCATATGCTCAAATAGACATATTTTTAAAAAACAACTAGTACATATGTTTCTAAACCAATTTTGTCATGTTGATGTAAAGTGTTTTTCCATTGTTTTCTCTGCATGACCCTAAATATTTTTAAATGCATTTAAAAACATTTAACTCCCCACTGTTCGAACTCTGTACTATTTTCTTATTCCCAGAAAAAAACAGCAGAATAAATTCCTAAGTACAAATCCATTTAACACATAATGTGTATTGTTAACTTCCTGTTGCTTCACTGTGTCTTTTGTATTATATCCTACAAGGGATTAACAATTCTGAATAATACAAAAGGCAATATATTTGGTTTTCTTAAATGATATCCAAATGTTTTTGGTGGCTATACTTCCATGTGATTTATCATCTCTCAGATGATTTTTTTTTTTCCATTTTTCATTCCTTGCTCCATTAAATATGCACGTTATTATGGCTGTAACTTTTAGCATTTGCAAACCTTGCAAACAGATTATAAATATCTGAGCCATGATGAGATATAGTTTAAGAAGTATATTTCATTGTTAGTGTATTTTCAAAAGTGTAGAAACATCACTATAAATATATAGACTAAGAAGAAGAACTTAAAGCAGTCTTCCTTCATAAAGTAATAAAAATAGTAATAAATAATTTGCCTATCAAATTTTCCTTTACTCCACCTATAAAACACAGACCAATAAAATCTACACAGGCTTTCCTTACAAACATATTTTATTTTTATTTAGATTTTCAGTGTGTGACAACTTACTTCCAAAAATTAGCAGTACCCTAAAACTAGATTGTGTGAGGCCTTGATTAAAACTATTTTGGTTAGAGAAAACATGTAACAAAACTTTAAGGTGGAAAGGCCAGTGAATGCACATGCCTAGAAGAAATTCACGCAAAGAATCAACATTACACATAATTTATCAGGGACAACAACAATGAGGTAATTTTACTATCTTCCTATTTATCAGTTTCAGAGAAGAAAGTATTTCATGATTCCTTTAAGAATCACTTAGTGGTCCACTGTTTTCAGAAACAAAAGTGTCAATGTCAATAGCACAAGTAATGCTTGTTTGTGTGTTACCTGTGGTACTTCCTAAGGCAGTAAGAAGTTAAATTGTGCAGCTATGAACATGACAGGCCTAATCTAAATAATAGATAAGTATGTCAACATAAGTGAAATTCAAGAATTAGAGTTAGAATTCGTGTCTGCATCTATCCCCTTTTCCAGTCCATTTCAAAAGGTGCTCAGATCTGTACAATTTTGTGAACATAAGAGTCCTCCCTGGACTGTCCCCTTATTCAGCCTATCATTTGCTAACAATTTACAAAAAAACTTTGCTCATAGTCAGTGAGCAAAAAAGGCACAATTTCAGGTCATCTTCACAACTTTTTGATACAATTCTTTCATTCTATCCTTTCCATAGCTACCTCTTCTGCTGCTGCTTCTGAGAGGAGGCCTTCCTTCTGCGCGCAGGTCACATGGAAATAAGCTCTGCACATCCCAGCATCACAACTAATGCATACACCAGTTCTGGCAAAACGAGTATCTTCACAAAAACTGCATTCCTTTATAAAGAAGAGTGGGAAAATGTCATAGTAAATATTTCAAGTGCATTTGCCTAATATTTGGTAATTTACATCTTGTATATAAAAACCAAACAGGTAAGTTTACTCCTGTGTGGTACAGAAACCAAGTATGCTGCTGACAGTTGACACTACTTAAAACTTCACCCCTTCCCAATCCCCACTACTGATTTCATTCTCAACTAGCAATGGAAAAGTGCTTAAACAATCTAAACAGCATGATGGATGAACATTTATATGAACTTCCACATCTTGGATTCCCCTTCAGAGCAACAACTAAATACCACCCAAGCAATTAGTGCATAATTAATTATATAAGTACGGTATCATAAAACAACACTACAGCTCAGCAAATGTTCACTTGTTCAACAAGTTCAGAGGACAAACAACAAAAAGAAGAGCAATGCTCTGGATAACTGAAAACCATAGATAATTACACAGATGTCCTTTGATAAGTCACCGCTGAGGAGCAAATGTGTGACAATGCAGAAAGAAATACCCAAGTATCATAAATATTAGTAAAGAAGGTTGGGATTCACTTAAACACTGCACTAGGGCTTCAGCTACATGCATTCTAGGCACAGCCATTTTTGCAGCACAGCAAACTGGCATCCCCTAACGTGTCCCGGAAAAAACCAACCAACCAAACAAACAAACAAAAAGCAAAACACAAACCAAACAGAAACTTATTTTTCAGCCAGATCAATTCCTCAGTCTGTTTCACCACAAATTCATACCAAACAGCTGTGCCAGCAAACTAGAGCAATGAACATGTAAGCTGGAACAAGCAAATGGGAATATGGGCTGATTAAGCAGTTCTGCTATCCAGTGCATAAAGATGATCCAAAATTATACAGATATGTATTCCTTAATCTCTTACATGCTGAATGCAGACCAAAGCTGTGCATCACCTACAGAAAATATCTCCCTGCAGGAAGTTAAACAACAGAAAGGAATGGCAAAGAAAACTTGGTGACCGAAGAATCTCAAAATACCGCCTACACTACAATAGAAGGGTACCCTTTGTCTGTGCAACAGCAACATGTAACAAGTAAGAAATGAAGTGAAAAATACTATTACATAAAGCTGGTTTTGCAGAGTGAAATTTAGCTAAGCAAGCTGTAACTTCCACACTTGATACTGCAAAAAGCATGTTTACAGCTCTGTGAGAGTAATGAGTCCTCTTGCTCCAACTGTTTTTTACACAAACATTTATAAACAATGCTAAATGCCTCAGCGGGCCCATACTGAAAATGCTCCTGACACAGGTATGTTGCACGCAGTCAATCCAAAGTGTTTTCATTTATTTTATGTATTATACGTATTTTTTAAAATGTACTATGTATTTTAATTTAACATTCAACTTGACAAACTGACATTCCAGAAAATGAAACTGACTATGTACAAATGGAACATTAGAGCAGCAGCAGGACAACCACTCTCCCTCACATTAGTCTGATAGATATGGCTTCTCCACACTACCCCCACAATCTACAGAAACAGTATTTAGCAAATTTCTGAGTGCTGTCCTCTGCCCATTGCAATGGTTTTCTCTATGGTTTGTGCACCACCACTTTTGATCTGGATTGAAAACATTTACATGTAAAACCATTTTCATTTCAGAGCCATTTTTCTGTTCAAGTTGAGGGCCCTGTGTTGTGGTGGGGTTTTTTTTAAATACTGCTTTACAGCAACCTTTTTGTATGCATTCTCGCTTATAATTATATAGACCCTAAAGTAATTCTTCCTGAAAGTACATCTGTCGCTTTCTTAATCAACTCAACCTTCCATTTCTCCATTTTGCATCCCATAAATCCCCTTCATTTTCCATCTGGATTCTGGCAATCTGCCACTAACCAACTTTAAAAAAAAATAATTAGCACCTGCATAAAAAATAAGGTCACATAGGGGGAAAACAGTGACAGAAATTATGGAGAACAGTGGTAAGGAAAATCGAAAGAAAGAGAGAGGGAAGATCAATGGTGCAACAACCATGAACAAACTTCAGCTCATTTTTAGTCCTGAACCTCACTGCAATTGCTATAAAGAAGAAAAATAAAGTTGGAAAGATTTATGTTACTGTGTTATATGTAAAAATGTAAAATAAAGCTACTTGTTGGCAGTACATCTCTCCTAAACTTACCTTGGCACCATACTTTGAATAATTCATTTCTGTAAGTGTTACTGGCCGCAGTTTGTCAATATCTCCAAATGCCACTCCTGGAACATAGAGGGCACAAACAATATGGACCCACCTAGAACAGCAGATAAAATTAGATTACTGTTATCAACATTTTGATCCTATACTATACTCACCATTTGCAGATTTCAAAGTACCTTGTAAATGTTAGAGATGCTAGAAGAAATGTGTTTGAAAGAAAGTATATTAGAAGCAGGGAGAGAATGCATATTGGAATTCAGCAGCTCTCACTGAATCACAGCATAAGGTTTTTCAAAGCCACTGGGGGTGCTCTGCCTGACTGGATCAAGGGCTGGGCTACCACCACCTTTCTGTTCAGAGGGCTGTCAATGTGGGGCTCCACACCGCTTTTCACGCAATATGAAACGTCTATGAAGATTTTGGTATTACCTATAAAGCTAAGGCAGACAGATACTTCCATGATGGGGCAGGGGGTGGGAAAGGGAGTAATGAAATTATACAGGTAGTCACAGCAACACCGAGCTCTAGGCATATAGCTACAAAGTACCTGCAACACAGCATTAGTCAGATTTGGCACTGTTACAGTTAGACCTGTTAGTATCACCAAAACTAACTACTTTTAAGCAACATAGGTGGGAGCTGCATTCAGCTGGAAACACATCTGAGTTGTATTACAGAAATGTCTGTCTGAAACTCAGATGAACGGACTGTTACTTAGCTGTACTCTTCCTCACTGGCCATAAACAAACTGGAGGGTAAAAGGTCTAAATCTTCAGCCCTGAGGGACATAATTGAGACAGCATGAATCTGGGCCTCAGTGTCTAGTAATTAAATACAACACAATGGTAAGAGCTTCAGCCTCAAGTCTGCCTTGGACAGACTCATAACCTCCTGAAACTCTCAGTTACCAAAAGACAGCCTTCCAGCAGAAGACACATTTCTTCTTACATGAACACCTTCTAACAGATCCAACTCTCATTGTCACAAACCACCAGTTAGGGACAAATTCAAAATCTGTTCTATGCAGTATGCGTGAACCAAATCAACTGAGATAAACTACTCCAAAAAACCAAAGTTTTCCTCCCCAAAATAATCTTTCTGTTTTATCAAAATTTCAGAAACTATTTGCTTACCCTTTCTAAGTCACTAGGTAAGAACAAACTGTCATAAACAGAAGGGCAAGATTGCTACTTTCTGTTATCTTAAAATATTCAACAAAACAGCCTTACAATTGCACTGTAGCTAACACTTTGAATCTATGAGCTCCCAGATGACATAGGATACAACTAGAGACTTTGGACGTAACTGAGCTGAAATAGCCTGTGTTTAACCCTTAGCAAGTATGTTAATTCAGCACTTTACAATCTTCCCAGTCATTAACAGTGAATACATCACTAGTAAAGACTAAAACTTATGTTCTATTCTAAGAGGTTCTCTTCTGCTCCCTGTATTCGAAAAGACTCATGACATGCCAGAAGCACTTCTTTCCTTGGCTCTTTCCTTACTCACATACTGCTATTTTCCAATCTCCCTAAATACCAGGGGTTCAGCACAGAATCTGCACCCACGGTGCTGTGCTTTTTTTCCAATCTTCTACAACTGCTTAGCCTATCTCTTCTCCCTCCTCTTTGTTTTGTGTGTCAATAAAAAAAATTCAATTGGGAACAGAGCAACAAGATCCCGGTTTTAGCTGCACTTAAACAGCATGTTTATTAACCTGCTATTAACTGGATGTCTACAGATGAGAGAAATACTGAAGCTGATGGTTATACTAATCAGGAGCTACATACAGCCCTGATTTCCCATGTTTCCCAAATCAGCACCTTTCTCATCAGTGGTCCTTAGAACCACAATGCCAGAATTCATCATATTCAGAATTATTAATTTTCATGTTAATCATATACGGCTCATATATCCAAGCAGAAATTCCAAAAAAGCAAGATATGAATGGATGAGTAGCAAGCTCAAAAATACATGTACATTTAAGTCTTTACAAAGGAAACAATGATCTTGCAACGAACAAAATTGGTGGACAGACTGCTTATTAGAATTTTCCCAAAAAATAGTACATGATACAATAATAACTGGATAACAGAAAATTCCCAGTAACAGTAAGAAAATACTTAGAAGCCATTAATTCACTTCACTCTCTAAGAAATTTCTCAGTAAATCTAACATAAGTCACAACATTGACTGATCCATAGTGTCATATCTGAAAAGACTCTCTTCACCTGTGTATTTGAAAACAAGCTTTTACCCCGTTGGTAAATCACTCAGGTTTGAGATGCTAAGTGCAAATTCCCTTTAAAACATGAAAAGTTAAAACAGTGACAGGAACCTATATGCCAAATACACATGGAATGACTGCACTGCTTTGTCTTTACAGATTTTCCTAGGGTTCTCCACATCCGCAAAGCGGTTTGGTCACAGCACTGTAACTACCGGAAGACTCAAAGGAAATTTAAAGATGAGTTACAACCTTGTCTTTAGGTAACACGGTACAAATATGACAGCGTGCTAGCTGTGAGAGAACGAGCTGAGATCCTCAAGTGTTCTGCCAAACCTCTTGCTGTTCAGATACAGACTAAAGCTCATCACTGTTTTTATTACAGTATAAACACTCTAGTATGCCAGCCCAAACCCTTAACACAATGTTATATGCAAAAAATAAGATTCTTCTCATTGCTATATGAAAAGGGCATCTTGTCTGCCTCCCCTCAAAAGCAATGGAGGCACAACATATTCCTGCAGGGGAGCAATGGAGCACCTGGTACCATCTCTGCCCTATTCAGCATTGTATCCAGAACTGGAAATAGTTTGGCCTAAATCACTACCATACCTTTATGGTTTTCAAAAGGAATCAAAATACTTTTTTTTTTTTTTTTTTTAAAGCAAAATACCACATGCAGAATGAGACCTGTAACCTTGAGATAAAGAGACTGCTTGTTTATAAATAAAAAGTATCTGAATTCTGTAGGGCTTCTTTTCTATGTCCTTCCATTGATTTTAGATATGTTATATAAAACAAATTTCTATAAACAGGAGTTACACATCTCCACAATTACTATTCTTAACAAAAATCCAAGGTTCTGGTTGAAGATTTTTGATAGAAATTTTAATACAGCCTCCCTAAATGTATCCTCCAAAGTTCAATATAAAGATACACATCTTCTATAAGCAGCTGCTTCTCAATTTAATTTGCACAGTTTTTTCATGCTCCACTGGTGTATTAAATGCTGCTGCACTCTGTAGGAGTTTATCTATGATAAACCCAACAGCTGGCTGCTTGCTTCATACTGACCTTCTCAAAATGTTTTAGTACATGTCAACCAAGTATTACAGTATTAGAGATTTAAACTGCCATTTCAGTGTGATTGGCACCCAACTGCCTCATTTCTTTAACCACCTATATGTGAACTCAAACCTGAATCTTTATTAGAAAACATACACAAGTCAGTCAAGTTCACAGCTGAAGCAATTTCAGCTGCTTTTAATACCAGTTCTAAATATTTTCCTGCTCATTTGTTTAGCTGCACATGTTTTAGAAGCTTGCAATTAAGACAAATTGGGTAATCAAAGAAGAATAATCTTCCTTGTTACTTTACTATCCATTTAGCTTGGAGCAATGATGACAGATGTTGATTAGGGAAGAAGAAAAACTCCACAGCAAAACAAGGATGGAATTCATATTCTTGGATAATAGCATTCTGAGAAATAAAATTTCATAAATTCACGTTTATGTTTGTGAAACTGAGAGGTTAATGTGAAAAGGCTTCTGCTGAGAAATTAAGCACCTCATTATTCTAATGATTCATCTTTCACGTAGGAATAGAGAAATCATTCCAACTTGACTATGAAGAGAAACTGAATAGGTTTGGTCTCGCCTCTGTGTAATTTCCAGCACCAATGCATATGAAGAATTTACTTTTAAAAGGTGGTAAGGGGATGGAGAGCAATGGATTGTACTATTCAGTAGTCCCTCTCTGATAGTATTTCAAGAAAAGAACTACAATGGGTTGCAGTTTACCAAGTATAATGAAAATATAATGGACATTGCCTGCCCCAAGACCCTGCACTTGGCCTGTAGTGTGTCATTATCCTTGAGAATTCAAATTTGTAAATAAATGACAGAACGAGAGCACAGGAATTTTCACACGGTAGGTAGTATTTGTTTTTTCTAGTACATAAGCTCTATTCATCTGGGAGAATAAACTTATTCATGATAGCCATATCATGTTATCTAGCAGGCAAAAATATGATAGTAATGATAATAAATTACTGTGTTAATGCCCACAATCAACAAAGCAGGTATGTGCTTCTGCACAGAGAACACACTTCTGTATTAACCAAAAGCATGCTACCATCTAACAAGAAACTAAGCAATTTTTAAAATGTTGACTATTTCTAGTCACCTAGTTTCTATTACAGTTATATGGGAAATTACATATATAGTGCTTAAACTGCCTTACAGAACATAGGAACAAAAAAGCTGAAATTAAATTTTCCAGGTCATACTGATTCCCACAGTTCCTAACTATTAGACAATTGACTTTAGTCTTTAAAATATTTTTTTCCAGATAGCAGCACTATTATTAAAATAGGAATAAGAACTGAGAAGTACAGTTTGTTTAACTGTGTAACGGCTTTATAAGGGAGATGCACAGACACTGTTGAACCTAAGACAAACCAGAAACTGAGGATCTGAACCCCAAAAGTATTTAAAAAGAAGCACAAGTGCTTATGTGGGGTCAAGATTATTCACTACAAATCCTGATTCACTTGCATAACATTTTTTTTTAACAGCACATTACTTTCTTCTACATTCCCTGTTTTCTCTTGAAAAGATGCATGTAGAAGACATGCAGGGGAAAAAAGATTTCTTTTACATGCTGCATTTAAAATGCATCTAAGCTACAAATTGAGAAGTTGAGCTCAATGTATATTCAGTGGAGAAAGGTAGGTGCCTCCAAAGATTATTGCTAGTGTCTGCATCCAAAGGTCAAAGTTCAGTGTTATGAATAGCCTCGTTATCTCTTTATTCCCCACACAAACTCAAATTGTTCTTGCTATCAGGAAAAAATACAACTAAGGGAGAAATGCAAGGTCCTGTACAATTTAAACCCCAAACCCTGAATCAACTTCTGACATTTTAAGACTGTATTTACTTTTCCGAAGACAGACAACACAGTATGTCAAAAAAAGCTTTCCAAAACATTATCCTGAGCTCCACTGAGCTTTTAATGATGGCAGGACCAGATCATTACAGTATTATCAACAATAAAGTCTGTGTAAAACCAGAAAGAAAAAAAAACAAACAAAAGTGCAAACTAAAGAACTAGGGGGAAAAAAAAGGGAAAAAAATAAGACAGATACGGATATGCTCGTACACACATTACAAGACAGCTGTATACCTAAGTAATAATATATACAAAAGCTTACTAACACAGATTATAAAATTAAACTTTTACTTCATTTTAACTCACTTCCTAGCATTTATGCAAGTCTAACTAAGGAACTCTTTACAACAAGTAGGAAAAACCATGAAGATCACTACATAATATTGGGTGAAGAAAGAGCGAGGACATGGCTATATTTTATGATTTGCTAGTACAAGATGTTGTTCTGCAATATAGAGCTAAGTGTAAATAGTAATGTATCTATGAATTCATATTAAAAACCACAAAAGGTTTTACAGTAACATATGTTGACATTTCTGAATTTTAAGAGTACTGAAAGTATTTGTACTAGTATCAAATATTTAATTGGATTCTTTCCAATTCATCTATCACCATCAGTAAGACATGTCTGCAGACTTTCACATTTCTAACAGATACATTCAAAAAGGATTAAGAAAGCTCATCTTTCCTCTGAACAGCCTTAACAACTAATTATTACTTTCCTGTGTTAACATGATTGATGAAAAGCTTATGATAGGCCCAGTATCTGAAAGCTTTGTATATTACCACACACCTGCAATTTATGTAAGTGTGAAACATATGGAAAAAGACCTTAATTGTCAGTAGTCCAAAAAAAAAAAAAAAAAAAAAGGAAGAAAAGCCACTACCCACCAAAAAAGTAACACCATCCATAAATCAGACATCACTGATAATCCTACTCTCTCATTATAGAAATTTAGTTACTCTTAATATCTACATCTTAATTTATTTTCCAAATATGACAAGAATGGATCACATGAGAATTATTTTGCTTCTTCTCAAAATAGACCTGAATTCCACCCTAAAAAGCCCATCTTTGGCTGCAAATTATCAGAAGTGAAGCATACTCTCAAAAAATCCGTAATATAATTTTCATAATTTAAAATAATATACTATGTCTGTCTGAATACCTTTAGCACAGCTTCAATATAATTTTGTTTCTTTTTTCCATTAGCTGACATCATTAAAATCCAGACCTTAGCTCACCTAAAAAGAAGCATGAAGTTGCCTTCCAATTTCTGTCATACTTGAAATAGAGGTGACCACAGTCTGCACAAGGTTGCAGTGGTATTACCTTGCACGAAGCAGAATACTACAGAAAGGATAAAGTCTACTTTTCCTTTCTTGAAATGGAGTATGTGCTTTGATTTTTCCAATGGTCACATGCTTCTCCCAATCCAGTATGACAAGAAGTCTGGAAGGTGTTTTCCCCCTCTGCTGCAAACTTCATCATTTTTTTTTGTGGCACCGTTAACTAAAGACGAGCACTTTGGTGTTTTGCTACTGTTCAGGATTAACCATGAAAGAAGCACAATACTAGCACAACACATGCTCAAATTCTACAGTGACTGACAGCAGATAACTGAACACTACAAGCTCAGTCACCATCAGAGAACCACTGTGACCAACCACACCAGGTGTCCTTGGTAGAACATACTCCTACTACTTACTATTCAGTAGCGAGGCTCACGGGACTCAAATCCTGCTTTTCCCACTGCAACCTCCAAGCTTGAGCAAATCCAAAACAACTACCCAATTTTTCTGAAATTTCTGATCCCCAGTCCCTGCTGTTAATAGTTCAAGCCATTGGTTAAGTGAGAAAAGTCTTCCATTTTCTTTGCAGATTTCTGAATACTGAGTAAGACTTTACTGGACACCAAGTTCCTCTACACAGGAAAGCTTTTTGTTTAAATGTAAATGAAAACAAAAAAAAGTTTATTTTTCAATACTCCCATCACCTTCATAAGTAACTTTTTTGTTAAAAAAGATGCATCACATAAGTAGTTCAAGGGAACTAAGAAAGGTCTGCTAGTATATCCAGTAAGACATTTGATACATATAACAATATGTGGTGACTTATACTGAAGAACAAGATTTATAAGTTCCTGAAGCAAACAGTGATCTTTGTTTCACCTAGGTACATGTTTTGCCCGTAGGTCTATGAACCTCCATGCTCAAATTTTCAAATTTATATTAAGACAACATCTTCCTAACATTATAATGGGCATGAAGAATAGTAGGAGCACACAAAAAATCAGGCAGAGAGGGGGGGGAGCGGGGTGGGGATATCAACAACAAAGCTTAATTTATGAAAATCTCCTACAAGAACAGACTGGGGTAAAACCCAATCTTTTAAATGTTAAGATGACATCAAATTCAAAACATCACTTCTTCAGTCTTACCTGCCAGCATCAGTCTCCTTGAAGATCCCATCCTGGTTAGGACACAATTCACAACTAGGTGTAACACCACATTTGCAGGCATCACAAAACCAAGGTTCTGTGGAATTTTCTGAAGCTGAGCTCATGATAGAGTCACTCTCTCCATCAACACCATAGCAACCTACACACATGAAAAATGGAAGAACAATTATAAAAAAAAAAAAAGACAATTGTAGAATGGCAGTTATGATTTCAGTAGGAAACATATGCACATATAAACTCAGGGGAATGACAGCTTACAATATTTTTTCAGAAATTATCTGTAGTGCAAAGTTTACATTTTAAAGAGAAGTGATCTATTTTATGTGACTGTCTTAGATTACAACTCAAAAACAAGAAAAAAAGACCGGTTTACTTTATTCTTTTAGCAACACTTGGTGTTCTTCCAGATTATCCATTAAGAAGGAAAGTAAGAAAACAAGACTTAAAGCAACAAAGACTGAGAAAAACTAAAAGCATTTCTTCAAATAAAGAAATATATTTCAAGTTCAATGCAACAAGTTAAGGGATTTGTGAGGCTTCTCTTGGATATTCCTATCTTTCTCCGTCTTCTACTCTAAAAATGAACATTATTTTGGGTTGGGTGCATTCAGCATTCATACACATGAAATATAAAACATTATTTGCATACTTTAGGGGTTGTAGGACTGAGCTTAAAAGACCTTCTATAACTTAAAATCCAAAGTATCGTTTGCAGAGCACAGACTGACAGTTTTGAGACACCACGTTGGTGATTAATGAAGTTTTTTGTTGGGTTTTTTTGGGTTTGGTTTGTTTGGGGTTTTTTTAAGCATTCTCATGCTGGTTTTAAATTATGGCTACACTCAATCATTCAGTTCCTCCAGTCTTCTTTGGTATGTCCCCTGTACTTTATGATTGTTAACGTGTCCACACATGCTTAATCACAACAAATTTAGGAAAACAGTATTTTTAAAGTGATTTAGAAGGTTGTTATTTAAATTTTGCACAAGAGTAGTATTATTACTTCTGCAAATGACAAAAAGGAAATTCTTAAAGCTTATCACCACAAAATTGTATTTCTAAATATGCTGCATTTTGAACATGTATCTGTTATTAAGATAAAATTATTTCATTGTCAACACTTAAAATACAGTACAGACTACTAAAGATTAAATTCATCTGTTTGTCAAATACAGTGATCAAGTCAACATTTGTGCTTGCAGACGAATTAAATTATTGAATTCTGCAATTAAATACCAACATAATTTGTTACTTTGGTTCATTACCCACTGACTGTAATAAAAAGCAACAGTGCTCTAACTCTCCTTGTGACAGAAACAGAGGTCTGCATAATAGACTAAAACCACATTAAGGAAATACGCAATAACACTGTAGGAACTGTTTAAGAAATATAGTTTTCCATTACAGAATAAGGCTCATCAATAAGAATTAAAGTCAGAAGCCAGCATATTTCTTTTCATTACAAACATATTCCAAAATCAAAGGACAAGTAATGCACAGAAGCGCATTCACAGACAAGTTTTGTTAGGTATATAAAAGATCATATAGCTCACACATAAGGCAGTTCCATTTTCTATATAATACGCTATCAGCTTTAAGTAGTATTCCATAAAGTCATTTTTTAAGTTCCAATAACACAGTCCTGAATACATGCCAGTAAAGCTACTTTTAAGCAATTACATTAATGTACAAACACACAGCCCACTGATATCATAGAGCTGATGAATAATTACAGTTTTTATAATTCCTTCAGACTTCTTAACATATTAACAATTTCCTAAATGTACTTATTAAAAATTACCTAACACTATAGAAGCAGTAATAATGTAATCAATCCATATTGCAAAATAAAATCAGTTTCTTTAAAAACACTGGTGCTTCTTCACCAGTTGGAAGTAATTAGATTTGCTTTTCTAACCTGAGTGCCATCAGTCTACTAAAATTAGAATGGTGACTTCCCAAAGCTGTCTTATTTTCATTCTGAAATAGTTGCCTTATTATACTTATCAGTCATTTATATCTGATGATTTTTAATCTTTCTTCCTACAAAATGACACATTCATGCTGTAACTATCTTCACCCTTATCATACCTGTTGACATTAAACATTGTTTCTATAGCAATACAAACTTAGGTCCTTTTTTTGAGCAGATAAAAAAAAAAATGTCTGGATTTTTAACCCCAAATTTTTTTGTCTGAATTTGTACATAAGTCTTAGTGACAGCTTTAAACAGTTTAAGATCTCTAACAGAAAATTAGACATTTACTCTTTTCCCTAACTGCCATTTAGCAAAAGCCAAACACCATGCAATTACAACCAGCAAAAGGGGCGGCCATTAGCTGCAGAAAATGGACTAGATTACAATTAATCATTGCTGATAAATACATTGAAACAATCTTTTCCACAATAGAGCTGAAGAAAAGGAACTCCAGCCCATAAGGTTGCCATTGACTTGGTGTACACTGCCAAGTAAAGCTACAGAACCAAAGCTGCAATACAAAAGCTCACTTCCTGTGAAGACACGTAAGCAACACGAAGGCTGCGCTCAGTGACAGCTTTTTATACCCACGCACATCAGATCGTTACCTCTAAGCAGGTAATGAGGTAATGTACCATAAAGAATTTCTACTTAAGTTTTGGGACCCAACAGCTGAAGTTTAAATTTTATCTAATAATACTTAACAAAATGAAGAGCTGAGTCCCAAAATTAATTAGAAAACACTTGTTAAGCTCTATTTTTTGTTAAGGATATGCAAATATTTTAACTCAGAATTTTTCTTATGTTTGCTGTAAAGAGTCGTTTGCTTCTTTTGGGTTGTTAATAGATAAGATAAAACAAATGAGAGATCAAATTTCATCAATGTAATATCCATATGGATAATACAAATCTGTTGAACAGCAGTAGTCATGAAATGTTTGTGAATCTACAAACTATAATAAGTAAGATGACAATCTTGCATGTGGTTTTGACACCAAAAATCATTATGTAAATTGATTTTAAAAAAACCCCAAAACCTAGCAGCGAAATTTCCTTGCAGGCCAAAAAATATACAGCAAAGCAAAAAACTACTAGTAGCTCAATTTTTCAATAATAAAACTTTCATGATTTGAAAACAGCAAAATAACTCAGAACAAAAAATAATCAATGACAAAATACATTTGTGCTGATTTTAAATATTCCCAGATAACACAGTGATGATGTCCTTTGACATTAAAAGACGACTGATGTGTACAGGAGCAGATATGTTTGTATTTCAAATGTACAAGCAACAAGAAACCACTTAATTCATTTCAAGTGAGATATGATGGCAAAAGCAGTTCCAAGACAAAACCCTATTGTAGAAATATATCCATTTTGCTAAAACTTTGAAGTTCCATTCAAGTAAGTGTATTTGGAACAATGAAAAGCCAAGAACATTATAGCATTCACCTGGGATGTGAAAGTCTGAAGTCTCCACCCAGTCCAAACAAGAGCGAGGATATAAATCTATTCTCCCATAACCAGTGCTCTGATCACGTGGTAGTTATTCCAGAATAAATACCTCAGTCTCTTCTGTGAGTTGCTCCACTTCTACACATAAACAATGCACTACCTATTGTACCACACGTTTACTAATTCTGCAGCCTAACTGCAGCAAGACAAAATTGTTCCAACATACTGAGAAACAAAAAACTTCAATACCTTACATTTTTCCAAGAAATGGAAACCTACTTTCTGATTATCAACTAGCAACCATAATGAAAACCCTGGCAGAGATGAGGAATGCTGCTCACCTAGTAAGCATCTGTAGTGTCAAAATTAATAAATAAATAAATAAATAAAATTTTCTCAGTATACTGACTTTATATTTTCTCTTTTTATCACAAGTTGCAATACTAACTGCCAAGAGAAAAACTGATTTGATAAGATTAACATCATGGGATTTTTTTTTAAAACAACAGAATACTATACATACCTTGTCAAAATTTAGAACTGTGGATAAACATATTATCAAATACATTCAAGCAAGCAGATGCAATTAATTAACACTAATGAAAAAGATGAACTTGCCCTTCCAGACCACGCTTTCACTGGCTTTCACTTTCCAATTTCAGGTAACTTTAAAATAGTCATATTAAGGGATTCACGTTTCCCTTACCAAGTTGAAACTGGGTAAAAAAAAAAAGCTTTTTCTCCTCCCTGGCTATAATTGAATTTTTGTGTATTATATCAGAATTACGGTACAAAATGCACTTGATAAAAAAATCTAAACACACTTTTTTAAAAATCTGTCTAAAAAGTTACAATCTATAGATCAAGAGTTCAGAGTTTTTTAAAAACAGCTATATTTTCATATTTTTACCATGATTATATTCTTTTGTCTGTAACAGACAATTATCTCTTTAAATATATCATTTTAGGATCTTTAAAACTGCTGAGTACAACAAAGGTTCAACTTATTACCATCTGCCTTCTTTTCCTATGCAGACAGAATTATTTTGGTCCTATTAACAAAAATTTTAAAAAACATTATTTTTATGACTCTCTAAAATGCAGAGACACGCAGATACGAAACTGCTGCTTGATAAATCGTTCCATTCTAGTTTTAAACAGTTAAGCTGATGAGTAAGAAAAGTTTGCCCAATCCAACATTCCTGTAAGAATTGTTAGGAATTGCTGGTGTTGGAACAGAAAGTAATATAAGGGCTCGCTACAAGTACATCTCCCAGGTAACATCAGGAGATAATCTTTAGGTTCTTTCTAAAAGCGTCACAGTTGTGTAGATGGTGTGACTACCTAAGGACTGAAAGGACAACAGAGAAAAGCATGATATCTTGTAAATGACGTGTTTGGTTTCAGTTATTATCACTGCATCTGTGACCTATTCAGTATTAAGTCAACCACCCACCCCTCTGCCTGGAAAATACATTGAAGAAAATAAAACTTTTAAACACTTGCTTAAAACTTATTCTGCCTTTCCTTAACGTTGACAAAAATTCTGCATTTTGGATCTTTAGAATATCCCTGAGAGGCCCTTTTCAATTAAAGTTAATTAAATCCTCATGTTTGTATATACTTACATTACTGTATCACAGCTCCATGTTTGCCACCTCCTTGAATACCTCTTACACTAACCAATAAAACTGGCTTAGTATAAT